TGTAAGTTCCCTTAAAAGTTGAGTCATTTAATGCATTGTTTGAATTTAAAAATCAAAGCCAAAATTTCCCTCATACACCACAAAATCGGTGGCACACATTAGATTATGGTCTTTTTTTGTTCTTTGTTTTTATTTAATAATGCATATATATTTGTAATAAAAGAGTGGGATTATATATTGGGCCTATGTAAACTAATGTAAATGGACTAGCACTAATGCAAATGAACTTATTTTTGGGTTTTATTATTACTTATTCATAACAACAAAATAAATGGGCTATTATTGTGAATTAACCTAACATGCAACTAAAATACTAATTATGCAAATGAAATTAATATGACATGTATTACTATTTATGAACCATATAATATGTAATGTGACATACTAATTATTTAACACCTAATGTAACATGAATTATCAACATGCAATGCAACATGAATTAATAACATGCAATACCACATGAATTAATAACATGCAATAATTATTTAATACACTATAATACATAATATATGCAACTATATAATATGCACACTACCTTATGCAAAAAATGAAACTAGACGATGTAATGTATTTAATACCTAAAATATACTATATAGATATATTATGCCTATATTATTTATTTTATTTTATACTATAATATGAAATGCCACGTGCGTGTCACCACTCGAATAAAATGGATGATAACATTTATATGGTGAAAAAATTGAAGAACTTGTTGGAATTTTCAAATTGCATCAACAAGCTCAGGATATCTTTCAAATGACAAAATTATCGTTATTGGTGATGATTCTTTTGAAAAGATACTTGATGAAATAAAAAAAATATATTAAAAATGAGTATGAACTAACTTGAATAATTAAAGGCTTTTGTGAACACCCATTTTTTGTTCAGGTCTCAAAAAAATACTAATTATTATTATTATTATTATTATTATTATTATTATTATTATTATTATTATTATTATTATTATTATTTACATGTTACATTGTTTTTGCAGGCTAAGTGAAACCCAAACCTGGTTACATCGAAGCCCAATTACAAAGCATGTAACCCAACAGTCCTAGATGAGGCCCAAACAACAACACAACCCAACAGCTAGCAAACCGGCCCAGTAACCCGACCCAAAGCCAGCAGCCAGTCGACCAATCCAGCAGCCCAGGATCCAACACGGTTGATTCAGACCCAACCCGAAGATAAAGCAGTCCAAGATCCGACCTGAATCCAATCTGACCCGACCCTTAGGGTTTCTAGAACCCTAACCATAGGGTATAATACTGTAACTACCACTGTCACCGCCTCTGATGTCGGCTGCTTACAAATAGTGACCCACATAGTGATTCCATCAATCAAAAGCAGAGAAAGCAGTCAGAAAACAATAGATATAGGATTATTTTTATTGTAAACCTATGTAATTTATGGGTTATAAAACCCGAAGGAAATGTAACCAGAGAGGGATCTTTTTTCCTCCCCATTTTCAGAAGCAATAACAACAGTAGTTTAAAGTTTCTTTCTCTTTTTTTTATATATTCAAATAGATGATTATATATATATATTTTCTAGTTTTCGGTTAAGATGTTATATATTCGAAAGAGGATTAATTTTTTTATTTTATTTCGAACTAACAATCAAAACAACTAATTTTGACAGCAAAAACGATAAAAAAAAAATAAAAAGAAAGAGATCAGGTCTTACCTGAACCGAGAGAAGGGTCACCAGAGTCGAGAATTCGAAGGGTCCTAAGCCGATTTTGAGCAGTTTAGAGGGGTTTTCTCGGTTGTTTTAGCCCCAAATAGGGGTGTATGGGCTTAGATCTAGCGACTTAGGGTATTTTGGAAGGTTTTAGGGATTTCGACCACCGTGTGCGGTGGCCGAACGATGACCGGAGCGAGAAGAGCTGCTTGTATTGAGCCGGTTGGGGGGAGAGTTGAGAGAAATCTCCCCATTTTTTTGGGGTTTTGGTAAAAACTGAAACAAAAAGGCTTAAAAGTGGTATATATAGGCTGGATTAATGGTAAAATTACATCTTAATTGCCTGTAAGTTTGTTGTGTTTTTACATTTTAGTCCATGTAGGGACCAAAATCGCTATTACACCAATTTTCTATGCATGTTTTATTTATCTGGTAAATTTATTATTTTAGTCCTTCAAACATAGTCGTTCTTTTACATTTCGGTCACAGGACCTTTCGTTTTTAATTTATTTTTATTTTATTACTCAGTTTTGTTTTATTTCAATTTAGTCCCTGTTAGTTCTTAATTTAGCTATTGCATTTTAATTTTTTTACATTTTGGTCCCTATTTATTTTTTATTTAGTTATTATCTTTTATTTTCTTGCATATTAATCCATATAATTAGATTTTATTACAATTAGGTCCTTATTTTTTTAAGTCTTTTAGAGCATGATATTTTAGTCGTTTGCCCTTTTAATCCCTCAAACCTTAATTAGAACTTTAACATTTACATAATTAAATAGGATAAAATAGAGCCTCCACTTATAGTCTTTTTTTAATATAGTCCCTCTAATTTAGGGTATAATCCGAGTTGGCCCTCGCGTACATGCTCAGAGGGTCATCTAGGTTATTCGATGCAGTAATTATTAAAATCAAATAGGATTAATAGTAGAGCCTACACATTTAAGTTTAAGTCCCCAGGTTCCTTAATTTTCATAATTTTACACCTTAAGTTAGAAAAAACCTTAATTTACCTTAGATTAATTAGGATTGAATAAAAATTTGTTTGATTGCATTTTATTTTAACTCCAAGGCACTGTTCACTTATTTAAGGAATTAATAGTATATCTCCTGCAATCATGCTCATGGGGTGACTACTGGTAATTCCCAAAATAGGTCGACATCCTTTTCAAAACCGCATCATCTTTTTCTAAAAATGAGGTAACGCTCGGTTATTAGGCACAATAACTGATCTCTCGCATTTACGCTCGGGGGCGAATGCTATCGGTCTCGATAAACGAATACCCTTTTCAACTTTACATCCTTAATTATTTTTAACTTAAATAAAGATCGAACCCAAAATTTCTGATTTTAAATATAGGATAATCAACTAGATACCAATTTTTGGGCGCTTAAGGGGGTGCTAATCCTTCCTCACGCGTAACCGACTCCCGAACCCGATTTTTGGATTTTCACAGACCACAAAACTCAGTGTTTTGATAAAAATAAAATGTTTTATTAAAAGCACCCGATTTTTATAGTGTCCCAATCTCACCTTAAATGATTGGTGGCAACTCCTAACATTTCGAAAATTCTTTTCAAAGATTAAACCCCCGAGTCAGTATCGGTCTTTTCCCCGCCCGGGCAAAAACGGTGTCGACAACTTTTATTCTGTCATGTTATTGCAATGTTGGCAGCTATTTCGATACAAAAGCTCGATGAAAAATTTCTGGTAGCAAAGTTAGGCTTTTAGCCTTATAATATTTTTGTTATAAGATCTGAGAGCTTAAAAAACACTGTTTTGTTTTTCATTTTATTGTATTCAACTTGAATTAACTCAAATGATATTCAAATTTTATATCAAATGTTATTTAAATTATCATTATCAATTAAATTTATCTTTTATATTATGTTTTATGTATGTTATAATTGTTAGATAATTTTTCTTTACAAAAATTAAACTGTTTGGTTTATATTTATATTTTAGAGAATTAATCACGTTCAATACCAATATTCATTTATTATCAAAATAATTATCATTTCATTACCAAAATTATTTGTATTAATAATATAAAATGCTAATATAAATTACATAATAAATACTTACATTATAAATATTATTTTTTCTTTACATAAATTAAACTATATTAATTTACATTTAATCATTGTTCAATGTCAATATTTTTATTAATCATGTTTTATATAATTTACATTTAAATAATTTTATTAAATAATTTATATAATAGGTATATTTATTAATTTAATTATCATAATAAATATTTTATGTTAATCATATTAATTTTTTAATTATATCATAAACTCAAAAACTCATAATTTTATTAAAATCTTATAATTTCGTCATTGGTAATATATAAGTCAGGTAAATGTCAAGTCAAGTAAATATCAGATCAAGTCAATAATAAGTCGGATCATTTACAGATCAGGTTAAAAACAAGTCAGATTGAAAACAGGTCGGGTAATACCAGTTATTTATTAGGTCAATCTCGGGTTCGGGTTCGGGTTCATATCAGTCAGATGCAAGTCAGATTCGGGTATCATTTTTTCTGTTCAATTCGGGTTCAGGTCGTTCTTAGGTTAGGTTCAGATCTAAAATTTCCACGTCCAACTCGGATTCAAATAAATACAAGTTTCGACTCGAGTCGATTTCGAATCACTACAACGCAAGTTAAAAATAATTTTAACTCAAATCAATTTCAGTCAATTTTATAGGTTGGGTAAACTTTTTATAGCCATAAATATAAGTAATTCTTTAGTCATTAAAACATTGTAGTTTACTATAATATTTCACTTTAAAAATTCCGGAGCCTCTCTGATCAATCTTCATACATCCCAGCCGCCAAAGCAAACCTTTCACCACGATACCCTGCCTCCTCCTCCTCCGGTCTCTGACCCAAGCTCTTTCTTGTCTTCAACTTTCCCACAGAACAAACCAAAGATCAGTAAATTAAGGTAAATTTTCAAACCGCGAGAGGATTTTTAGTTATGTCTCGGTTTGTATTATCTGGTACTGGCCCTGCATATCTCTGGTATATTTGATTTTCCGTTTTGGATCCTACTGTTTGTTACTCTGCCTAGTCTCACACTCTTTCTTTACTATGTTAAGAAAGAGAATTTTTTGAAGTAAAGGTTTAGCCGATATTTCAGACCATTATCACCACTATTCCCTTTCACTGCTATTCACGGCTCTGCGATTCTCCGCTATTGAGGTCTTTATTGGTGGCAGAGGGTTCTGCAAAATGGCGGCCGTGATACGCTGCTACCACTATTTGAAACCCTTTTGAAGGAAGGAGTAAAATGACATGATTTTGTTTGTTTTTTTGTTCGGTGGAGTTAGTGAAACTAATGTCGGTTTCTGACGAACAAATCACGAAGGTATTCAAAGCACGAAGAACAGTCGTGCAAATGCTGAGGGATAGGGGATATTCTGTCCCTGATTCAGATATTAACATGACAAGACAACAATTCGTTGAGAAATTTGGTGAGAATGTCCATCTCAAAAGGGATGATCTTTTAATCCTTTGCAACAAAGGAGATGCTCCAACTGATAAGGTACATATCTTCCCGCCCCTTCTTTGTTCATATATTTTATTCTTATTGGAGTTCTTAGACTTTATGTCTTGAGTATATGCCTACGGAATTAAAGTTTTATCTGGGATAATGTTGCCTGGCTTTGTTCTTCTATTTGTGGGAAGTCCGGTTTCCTAAGTGAATGACTTCTTTGAAACCATTAATTGGAAAATTGAGGATTTTGCTAGCTTTGATTTCTGAGCATGGCTGGAATCATGGGGTTAATGAGATAAATTTATACAAGCCACCATTCCCCTAATCGTTGATTGTTTCTCCATGTCATTCCTCTGCTGAGATATGTACACTTTCTTACCACTGCTCTCATATGTCTTAAACCTGATGTACTTGTAAAAACATATTTTTTACATTTTAATTGTAAACTTCCTATTTGAAACTTGTTGTTTCATTTTAGAATATATTTGCAACTGAAAAGTAAATGGAAATTTGAAAAAGCATTAGGAACATCTTTGAAAGGATTGCATTTCTTATTTTAGTTTCAATATGTGCTTTGTCTGTACTTTGGTTGATGGTAGAGATATTTTCCTTCACTCTTGACTTGGTATGAGTATGACCTTATGGTTTTTAAAAATATTGTTGCTTCACTAGGAGTTTACTAGGGAAACTTCACTTTATATCTTGACAATTGGGAAGCTCCAGGCTTAAAATTTGAACCAGGCTGATAAGCTGAAAAGAATTGCTTGTACATATTTTGAGCTTTAGAATGTCTTTCGATAGATGATGGAGAATGGAAATAAAATGGCAAGTATATTTGTCACAATTGATTGAGAATATAAGGATTTCATTGTTCTTATCACTCAGACCAATTTTAGATTGGGGAAGTCAATTTGCTGTAGTTTCGGATAGAGTTACTATTCACTAAATTCCTTTGCTGCATCTACAGCTGAGTTATATAATGAATTTATTTAGCTGTTTACCCTCTATTAAAAATTTACTTTGCTGTATCCATTTCTGCAATAAACAATGTATTTTTTGTGCTTGTCTAATTTTATATAGCATATAAAATAGTAATCTTTGAGTTATTTCAGAATCATCAGTTTATTGATCAGAAGCCCATCTTTTGATTTTGTGAAATGTTTAGAATTCTTCAAAACAGTCTGCATTGGTTTGCACTCTCTTGTTGTAAAGATCGCTTAGTTATTTATTCCTATAAAAAAAATCGCTTAGTTATTTACTTCGCCAAAGTTTCTGTCTTGCATTTTCATTATTCTTGGTATACAAGGAGGATGTTTGTTTTTGTCACATGGTGTTAAGTTTTACTTTGAAGCATCCAAATCAATCAAGTGAAAAAGGGCCATTGCTTCTGACTCTAATATTAAAAAAATAAGTTAATGCCCTTTTCCTTATTTTGTTACAAAAATAATTTTATAACTTCAATATTGATGTACTGATGGTTTATCTGTCTCTAGATGTATGTCTTCTTTTTTACAGAGGAAAAGGTTGGTGTTCCTATTGTAAGAAACTGTGCAAAGCGTATGAAAGCAGATAATGTTTATAATGCGATTTTGGTTGTTCAAAGAGCTTTGACAGCCCCTGCAAAAGCAGCGATAGTTGAAATTAATTCATACTTTCACATGGAAGTTTTTGAGGTGAATATATTTTTTTGCGGTCTTCGTGAGAACTGCTTAGCTTATTTAAATTATATGCATTTTTTTTATTTTTTTACATATAAACCGTTAATTGAATCGTAATGGTTGAATCTCTTGGTCATGATCCGTCACTAAGAAGTACAAGAAGAAATATATTAACAAAAGTTGTCAAAGTTTACAGAAAGCTATTCTGCTTAAGAGCTTGACTGATCCCTAAAGTAAATATTATTTTTCATTTCTCTGCAAGTCTATTAACAAAAATGGTACTACGTCTGAATTCTGGATTGAAATCTATCTCTAAAAGAACTGCTAGAATGTTGCCGAGTGTTGAAATGTCCCTTGAAAGTGATTGATTAATCATGCTAAAGTATATGTTGAGATGTATTTTTCTCAACAATTGGAATGATATATTCATGTTTTCTGTTGGGACACAACATCATAGCTCTATTATGAATGCTATAAGGACAGTAGCTTGATACAGGTGAATTTAAAATATGAACCAAAATATTACACCACATGAGAGGCCTCTAGAAGGTTTCTGTGGAAACCTTAATATTTACCCTAAAAGCTGTTGCCCTTATTATTCATGGTTATTTTGTTTTCTTCTATTTTTTCTTGATTTAAATCGGTATGTTGTCTGATTCTTATTAATAATTTGTGATTCCAGCTGACAATTAAAACAAGTAGTATGTACTGGTTAATTCACAAAGGACTTGCAGTACTCGAGTATAAGAGCTTACTAAAGCAAAATCACAAATAGAATAACTATCTCTAAGTTTTAAGTGTCTATGAAGCCTTTGATATTTCATATCGAAACACACATCCATAGCATAGGCCATTTCATTTATAAATTTTGTTTATGAAACTTTTCCTATTGATTGTAAGACGGTTTTCTTAACTACACAAATTTATGGGGGACAAATCCAGTGGCAAATCTAGAAAATTTAGATTGTGTCAAAATTTAGAAAAATTAATGCATAATGCTCCTTTTAAAGTGGTATCAATATTCTTTTAAATTGGTGTCAATTTTTTAATATTTTTATAAAATTTATAAAATATTTATAAAAAAAAAAAATTGGGGGACAAAACTGCTTTCTGAACAATTTTTGTTGTTTTTTCTATAACCTTTGCAAGAGCTGTCAAGCATGACTAATTTATGTAATGTCAATGCAGGAGGCAGAGTTGTTGACCAATATCACAGAACATATGTTTGTCCCAAAGCACACAGTACTGAAAGGTCAAGAAAAAAAGGAATTACTGGAAAAATACAGGGTAAAGGAAACACAGGTTAGTGATTGTTTTGCTAACACCATATTTGTCTCTTGCTGCGGTCAGTGATTTAATAAACTGGTTTAGTTTTGCGATATCTGCAGTAAATTGATAAATAACAATTGAGATACAAACAATTTCTGGCATTTGCTTCCTCCATCTGAGAAAATAGGCAAAAAGGGAGAAAAGAAAAGAAAAGAAAGAATTAAACAAAACAAAAGGGGAGAGTAAAACTTGAGTGGTTGCGATCTTTACTTTTGTGATCAGATGAACTTGCATTCTAGAACTTGGAGTTTTGAGCTTTAAGATGGAGCTTATGGGCTTAATGATATTTTTCAAGCGACTTTTAATTGCTTTATCTTATTCAATTTAAGTTATTGAAGATCATTTAGTGCAAAGAATATGATGTAATTAACCAAAGCTCCCGATTATGTAAGTTATTTCGGTACTAGTGAGAGAGAGAACACATTAGCATTCCTTATTTCCTGGGGAATAGGGATTAGTAATTTTAAGCAATACGAGATATATCATAATTATAAATATCTAACTTGATTCAAAGAAAGTAATTTACATTCTAAGAATGTCCCTAAAACCAACTTTAACTAAATTATATACCTTCTCTAAAGGTGAAATTTAAAATTCAGGGGAAAACCTTCTCAATGTGTATCTACATCTAACTGAATTCAATTTCTTCTGGCATCTAGCATTTTGATACATTCTCTACTGACTTGTAATTCGATCCTTTACAATCCTCACAAGTCCTAAATTGCTTTATTTTTACCATTATTCTGGTGAATAAATCACCGGTAAAGTTTCAAGGCTTGTTTATTTATTTCTTTTTTAGTATTTAGAGGGTAGTCTTAGTTGAATCGACATTTCAAGTTGTGTACAGTTTTAATCATAAGCATTTAATTTTGGAAACATAATTTTGCAATTTTTTTAATTAACATATAGGTTTATTAGTTTTTTCAAGATCAATAATATTTTGATTATAGGGAAAGAGCACTGAGCATGTTTTTGAAGTGGTTTCTGTTTAGTTAAGAAAATGGTTCTATGGATATATTTTGTTTTAGCAACAAGTTTATAGAGTGTGAAACAATCATGATCATTATAATAGCAAGATACCCGTGAAAAGGTTTTTGAAGTGGTGCTTTTGCTGTGATTAAAAATTTAGACACAACCACAGGGGATGTGTGAATGATCACCTGTTAAGTTTATAGCTTATTCTCTGGTAATATGTCGATTTATTTTCGTACGAAAGAATATTGTAAGGACTTGTGAAGTGGTGCATGATTAACAGGCACATGCCCTGTTGTCCCATGCTTACCTGCCTTGTTTTATCTTTTGCCTAGTTCCTTATTCTGCTTTTTTAAAGCCCTTCTCCTTAATCTTCTTCGTCGTCCGTTGTTGTTCTATCTAAACCATTTTCCTCGACATATAAATTTGTATAACACGTAGAACCCAGGTTATGAGACTAGTCCTGTGACATTACCATCATAGGACATAATACAGGTATCAGTCATGAAGAATAGTATCTCTTTATTGTATGTCTTAGTTATTAGTCCTGATTTTCTTCTTGCTCTCTCTCTTTTAAACTTCAGCTACCTCGTATTCTGGTCAGCGATCCGGTAGCTAAATATTACGGCATGAGGCGTGGACAAGTCGTGAAGATTACTCGACAAAGTGTGACTGCCGACACATACGATACATACCGATATGCTGTCTGATTTTCTTCTCATTTTACGGTTTTGCATGAAAGTTGTACGGTATAGATGATTTTTCTTCTCATTTTAGGCTAAAGCATGTGGTGAAAAGAATTTATACACTTGAATTTTAATTGGAAGTTCCATGGAGTTGGTGACAGGTGTGCTTCATTTCGATAATTTAAGATATTTGTCCAAAAAAAAAAGGATGTTGGAAAGATTTCATATTTCACAAATTACAATCAATTTTACGTATTTTGTTAGACGAAATATAATGTTTCATGTGATCACTGAAAATATTAAACAACTTGCAATATTTATTGTCGCTATTAGAATAAATTATACTCTTTTTCTCCATTGTTGATTCGTCAAATTTTTTAACTTTGACTCATTATTTAAAATTTATTATTGATAAAATTATTAAAAAAATACATTTTAAAAATCAAATATTTTTTAAATATATTTTTTATAAAACTTGTTTTTTTAAAAATATTTCAAATAACTATGGTTAACGTTTAAAATTTTTAAAAGTTTTGACGTTTAAAATTTTTAAAAGTTTTGACTTTTAAAAAATTAATAATTGACACTTTTAGTGAGACGAGAGAGTAACAAATTGAAGAAAATTTTTTTATTACTATAATAATTATTGGAAATCATAATTTTTTAATAATTATGTTAACTATTTTATAACAATTATAAATATTGACGTTGATACGATTTTCAAATAAATTTTAAATATTTTCAAAGAATTTTAAGTTTTTTTTAATATTCTTAAATCTATCTCCTTAGAACTTTCCAATAATATGTGAAAAGTGGAATATTTTCGTAAAAATTACTCTTTTATCTCACTAAATGTGTTTTTTTAAATTTTTAAAATTACCCTATTCAAAATATCTTTAATAAAAAAGTCAACAAATAATATTTATATTTTCTTTTTTATCCTTGTGTGTCTCATTATTTTATACATATCAAAATAAGTTAAATTTATCGATTATATTTTATGAATAATTTTATCATTTCTCTTTATCAAATATATCTCTTAAAATTATGTGCATAATTAATATAAAATATAATTAGTATAAGACACAAATTATGGACGGATAAAATATTCAGTAAGATATATTCCTCTAGTTAAGCACATGGAGTGACGTGATTTGTAAATTTTTCCCAAATGGAATACACCACTTTTTAAATGAAAAAATGTGTTATTATAAACTCATGTGTCAATATATGTATTGGATTATTATAACCTCAGCTAAACATGAAAATTTCATTTTTATTTGTTGTTTCTTATTTTAAAATGCATATTTTTTTATGTTTTTTATTGTTCATATTCTTTGAGTTAAAGACTTCAATCAAGTTATCAAATATTTTATTTAAGTTGAAAACAATATTTTTCAAAATTCATTTTATATTTATGATTTTATTTTAATTATATGTATTTATTGCGTTAGTTCAAGAATTTTGATCTCTAAAAATAAAAACTCAAACACAAATATATAGGGACGGAAGTAGTATTTTATGCTAGGAGATGAACCTCTAATGTGTTATAGGCTTTGTGAAATTATGAGGAAAAAAACAATAATTTTAAAGATTTATAAAATAATATGCGAACAAATAAATTTACAGATTTATAAAATCTTTCTTTTATTAGTATGATATTTTCATAGATAATTTACATTGACAAAAGTACTAAAATATTGTGATTAATATATGCTTTTTCTAAATAATCTCTCTGGCAAATAATATTAAATTCCACTACTACCCATCATAATATATGTCAATAAGTTACAATATCAACACCGGATGAAACTTAGATCGACGTAAATATTTTTTATTAATCTTAGATAATTATAAGATAATAAAAATCTAAACATTTCTACGTCTCTAGTACTTAAACCCAACATCTAGAAAAAAAAGAGAGTTCCATTTTATAACATTAATAGCTCATCCAAATTGCTTTTTTGCTTTTTTGCTTTTTTACATCTTCAATGGCCGCGGTTGCTTTTGTTTGGCGGGGAGTTTTGGAGGGAAGTATATAATAATATGGTAATACTATGGAAGTTGACTGTTATATTAGGTTTTTGTTATTGGGATAACGATTATTAATGGTCTTGGAACAAAAAGATTTGAAAATGTGAAAATTCAAAATCCATTTTTTGTTAGAAAAAGTTTTAGAAACTACAATCATAGAGGTCCTCAAAGAACCTTAAATGGTAAAATCATTAGAAGTATGTGGGTGTCTAAAGAACTCATTACTACTAAAGATAAGGTTATCCTACACAAATGGATACCTAAGGGGACTAGAATTTTAGAAACTAATGAATATGAACCTAAAAAAATTTGGGTACCAAAAAATATAAATTAATCTATGTTTGTAGGAGCATTGCTACAAGGCACAGGAAACAAATCCAAACTCATGGTACCTTGATAGTGGATGTTCAAGACACATGAACAGAGATAAAAGTTGGTTCATAGAGCTTAACGCCAAAAATGGAAGAGAAGTGACTTTTGGTGATAATTCAAAAGGTCACATATAAGGTATAGGTACAATAGGTAATACCTCTTCCATACAAATTAAAAATGTTTTATATGTAAATGGATTAAAGCATAATCTTTTGAGTATTAGTCAATTATGTGATAAGAGATTCAATGTCATGTTTGAAATTAATGGTTGTAAAATTATTGACATTGCATCTAATCGGATTATACTTATTAGTCATAGAATAGGAAACATTTACATGGTGCATTTAGATTCTATAGATATGACTAATTTGTGCCTAGTTGCTAAGGATGAGCATGATAGTTGGTTATGGCATAGGAGACTAGGACATGCTAGTATGAGTGTTTTGCAACGGCTAATTCAAGGAGATTTAGTTCGAGGGTTGCCTAAACTAAAATTTGATAATGATAAAATATGTGATGCTTGTGCTAAAGGAAAACAAAAGCGAGCTTCTTTTAAATTTATTAATGATTTATCAACTAGTAGAGTATTACAATTGATCCATATAGATCTTTTTGGGCCAACTAGGACTACTAGCTTGGGTGGAAAATAATATGCATTTGTCTTGGTAGATGACTATTCTACATATACTTGGGTTCTATTCTTAAGTATTAAAGATGAAGCATTAGAAAATTTCATCACATTTTCAAAAAAAATTCAAAACGAAAAAGGTTACTCTATAACTAATGTTAGGAGTGATCATGGCACTGAATTTGAAAATCTTGGATTTACTGAGTTTTGTAATTCTAATGGTTTAAGCCATAATTTTTCAGCACCTAGAACTCCTCAACAAAATGGAGTTGTTGAGAGGAAAAATTGAACTTTAGAAGAAATGGCTAGAACCATGCTTTGTGAAAATAATTTTCCAAAATAGTTTTGGGCAGAAGCCACAAATACCGCTTGTTATGTTATTAATCGAGTAATGATTAGGCCTATTTTGAAAAAAACTCCATATGAACTTTTTAAAAATAAAAAGCCTAACATTAGCTATTTTCATCCTTTTGGATGTAAATGTTTTGTTTTAAACAACGGTAAAGACAATCTTGGCAAATTTGATTCTAAAAATGATGAAGGAATTTTTTTGGGTTATTCCTTAAATTCTAAAGCTTATCGAGTATTTAATAAAAGAACTTTAGTTGTAGAAGAGTCTATACATGTTGTTTTTGATGATAATCTCGTTCCGAGGAAGGATTCTTGTGTGAATGATGATGTAGTCATTATAAATATAAATGACATTAGACATGACGTTGGAGAACCATCATCAAATGAAGAAATGAAAGATGAGGAAACTCAAGATCCTCTTGAGAATCCAACCATTGAAGAAAGGGAATTATCTTATCCAAGAGAGTACAACTATGTCAAGGATGGTGAGATCATAGGTGATCCATCCAAAGGGGTAACAACTCGATCTTCTCTTAGAAATATTTGTAATTATGTTGCATTTATCTCATGCATAGAGCCTAAGAATATCAAAGAAGCATTAAAAGATGAACATTGGATTATGGCTATGCAAGAAGAGTTAAATCAATTTGAGAGAAGTAAAGTTTGGACATTAGTTGAAAGGCCTAGTAATAAATCTAATGTAGGTACTAGATGGGTATTTAGGAATAAGCTTGATGAAAGTGGTAAAATAGTGATAAACAAGACTAGACTTGTTGCTCAAGGGTATACTCAAGAAGAGGGCATAGACTATGATGCAACATACGCTCCCGTAGCTAGGATGGAAGCAATTAGAATGTTATTAGCATTTGCATGTTTTCATGAATTTAAATTATATCAAATAGATGTTAAAAGTGCATTTTTAAATGGTTTTATAAAAGAAGAAGTGTATGTGGAACAACCTCCAGGTTTTGAAGATTCAAAATTTCCAAATCATGTTCTTAAATTGACAAAAGCGCTTTATGGTTTAAAACAAGCTCCTAGAGCTTAGTATGAAAGATTGTCAAACTTTTTAATTGAAAAGAGATTTTCAAAAGGGAAGGTTGACACTACATTGTTTCTAAAGCATAAAGGTAAAGATTTATTAGTAGTTCAAATTTATGTTGATGATATAATATTTGGTTCTACTAATGATGTTCTTTGTCAAGAATTTTCTAAGCTAATGCAAAGTGAATTCGAGATGAGCATGATGGGAGAGATCTCATTTTTCTTGGGACTCCAAATCAAGCAAAGAAAAGATGGCATCTTCATCAATCAAGCTAAGTACGTCAAGGATATGCTCAAGAAATTTGGATTGGAAAATGGGAAACCTTATGCCTCTCCAATGAGTTCTTTTACAAAGCTTGACTTGGATGAAAACGGTAAATGTGTGGATGTTAAATTATATAGGTCAATGATTAGCTCTTTGCTTTATCTAACTACAAGTAGAACGGACATTATGTTTAGTGTTTGCTTATGTGCTAGATTTCAATCATGTCCTAAGGAATCACATTTACTAGCTGTTAAGAGAATCTTTAGATACCTTAAGGACACTCCTAGTTTAGGACTATGGTATCCTAGAGACTCTAGCTTTATCTTGCATGCCTTCTCTGATGCGGATTATGGAAGATGCAAATTAGATAGGAAAAGCACCTCCGGTACTT